TACACTGGACAAGCTTTCCAACATTTCTGTTCTACCTTTCAAATTCAACACATCACAGGAATTCCTTATAACCCTCAAGGTCAAGAGATGGTAGAAAGAGCCCACCTCACACTTTAAAATCAATTATTTAATCAAAAGGGGGAAAATATGGGACCTCCGCCGCAAACCAATTAAACCTTGCCCTATTCACATTAAATTTTCTTTCAGTAGACAAGCAAGGCCTCACAGCAGCAGACAGATTTTGGACACCTCAAAACAAGAAATTTGCTGTGGTCAGATGGAAAGACCCGACCCCCTCACGGATCTTTGACAAGGACCTGACCCTGTACTTATCTGGGGGAGAGGTCATGTTTGTGTTTTCCCAAAGTCTGCTACAGGTCCTCACTGGCTCCCTGAATGACTGGTCAAATATCATCATGAAGCAATCGACTCATGGGATGAGGATGAGGACCACCCCAGAAGTCTGCCTCCCTCAAACCCAACATCACAACAAATGCAGAGAACCCATCCTCTGACGTGGAAACAGCTCAAGAGGCTGACTCAGGAGGGAAAGGCAATGATCAACCAACAGGATCTGACTCTGATGCCTGATAAGCTGTCCTTAGCAATGTTAGTTATCATTGCCACCCAGGTGGGAGTAGTGCACGGAGAGACCTATTGGACTTTTTATCCAAATGCTCCAGTATTACACCCAATTACCTGCGGTGATGAGTCGGTACCAATCTGTAAATGACTCCTGGATTCTGGAAGGACGCCAAGGACGAGATGGACTGTGCTGGCAGCAATTAGCATTATTTAATTATTCTGGACAGATGGTGGATCCTCCTTTATGTGGAGCCTACCAACCCATGGATGGATGCTTGTTGCTAGGACATGTAACCAAAACTGCTGCAGGAGGTGGCCAAGTAGCCACCATTACTGGGCCCTGGGCCCTTGACAATACATATCCGCTGTTTCTTTTGTAGGGCTACCAGCCACCACCATTGTTGTAGCCCCAACTCATCCTCCTTTACCTTACTGTGCAAATACTACCAATGTAGAATTGGAAAAATTCGTCTGCTGGGTAGACTATGCTCACCCTCTGGCTGCCCAACGCAAACTTAGAATTACTATACAACCTCAGAATTAGTATACAACTGGTCCCATCGCTTAACTGGACCTGTTCAAAATGAATGACACCTGGAGAATATATATCACCCATTTTTACCACCTCACAGCACAAGATGCAATGTGAGCTCTGGTGTATTTGGGCCACCACAGACGATGTTAACTTTTCTTCACCCTCTTCAAGTGCCTCACATCTTATGCATCCTTATGGAGTATGAACCTGCATACAACCCCCATATGGGCTGCTTGTATGACCTTTTAGTGTCTCTTTTCAAGGAAATCTATATCATATTACCTGTACAAATTGTAATCTAACCACATGTGTGTCTACCTAGAACAAAGGGGAAAATATCTTAGTTCTTTCCCAACCACCATATATTATGTTACCATCTAATCTACCTGAACCATAGTATGATGACCCAGGAACACAAGCCCTTATAGAAATGAAAAATGAACTCTCCAAAAGCCAGAGAGCTATTGGACTTACAATTGCTGGATTAGTGGCTGCTATTTCCATCCTCATCATGGTGTTACTTCAGCTGTGGATCTCTCACAATCTATACACACTGCCCAATTTGTTAATCAATTGGCTCATAACATCTCTCAAGCTCTAAAAACTCAGGAAGACATTGATTTAAAGATAGAGAGCCAACTTGCTACCTTAGAAAGTACAATGTTGGCTATAGGCAATGAAGTGGAATCCTTCCAATGGCAGTTATGGCTTCGATGCCATGCTGCATTTAAAAGCATCCATGTAACCAATGCACCTTATAACAATTCTCAGTGGAAATGGCACAAAACTCATAGCCATCTCCTACGAGTACAGCACTATATGAACCTTAGCCTTGATTTACATAATTTGCATCACAAAATATTAGACATTCAGAATGCTCAATTGGATATGATAGATTCCTGAGATCTAGCAAAACAAGTTCTGGAACATCTTATAGGCTTCAATCCTTTTAATATGTTAAAACATACCCTCTGGTATTTGCTTGCTTTGGTATTTGCGATAATTGTTTTGTTTTTATATTAGTTGATTGGCAAACGTTCAAGAAAAGAAGCTACACAGACCAACTTAACCTACAACAACTATGGCTTCAATTTCAAAATGAGAGGGGAAAGCTTTCAGTTCTCTGAAAACTTCTAATCTTTTCACCTTTTTTCTATTACTGATACTGTAACTTTTTCCTTCCTTCACAAACCAAACTCTGCTGTTCCAAAGGGAATAAATAGCCTGAGTACCCCAAAATATATTGTCTAAGCTAGGGCTCCACCGGCTGGCGAGGGAACCACAAGGTAGGCGCTGGGCATGGAGGCCATGGAGGCATAAACAACCAAGGAGACAGAAAACTGACCCTCTCAAAGGATGCTGCTTCTCTTTCACTCACTTGCCTCACATCACCCTGCTTGGCCATGGAAGATGACTGGTTAGCCAGAGATGGGTAAGATTCCTCAAGGAAAGAACCTAAGATAGGCAGTCACAGAGGGGTCATCAGGAGAGAACCTGGGGGCCAACAGAGGTGAGGCAGATCCTCACCCCGTTGACCTTGAAGAGGCCTGAATGTAAGTCATGAAACCATAAAACTCTTAGTAGACAACATAGGCAAAAATCTCCTGAATATAAACATGAGCAAGTTTTTCCTGAATGCATCTCGAGCAAGGAAAACAAAAGCAAAAATGAACATGGGAGGGAGTAAATCAAACTAAAAAGCTTCTGTACAGCAAAAGACACCATCAACAGAACAAAAAGGAATCCAAAGGTATGTCAGAATATATTTGTAAACGACATATCTGACAAGGGGTTAACATCCAAAATATATAAAGAACTCACATGCTTCAACACCCAAAAAGCAAATAACCTGATTAAAAAATGGGCAGAGGATATGAACAGACAATTCTCCAAAGAAGAAATTCAGATGGCCAACAGGCACATGAAAAGATGCTCCATATCGCTATTTATCAGGGAAATGCAAATTAAAACCACAATGAGATATCACCTCACACCAGTTAGGATGGCCAACATCAAAAAGACTAGTAACAACAAATGCTGGTGAGGATGCAGAGAAAGGGGAACCTTCCTACACTGCTGGTGGGAATGTAAACTAGTTCAACCATTGTGGGAAGCAATATGGAGGTTCCTCAAAAAGCTAAAAATAGAGATACTATTTGACCCAAGAATTCTACTCCTTGGAATTTACCCAAAGAATATATTTCTCAGATTCAAAAAGATATATGCACCCTTATGTTTATTGCAGCACTATTTACGATAGCCAAGAAATGGAAGCAACCTAAGTGTCCATCAGTAGATGAATGGATAAAGAAGAGGTGGTTCATATACATACACAATGGAATACTATTCAGCCATAAGAAAGAAACAAATCCTACCATTTGCAACAACATGGATGGAGCTGGAGGATATTATGCTCAGTGAAATAAGCCAGGCGGAGAAAGACAAGTACCAAATGATTTCCCTCATTCGTGGAGTATTAACAACGAAGAAAAGCTGAAAGAACAAAACAGCAACAGACTCACAGACTCCAAGATGAGACTAGCGGTTACCAAAGGGAAGGGGTGAGGGAGGGAGGGAGGGAAGGAGGGAGAAGGGGATTGAGGAGTATTATGATTGGCATACATGTTGTGTGTGGGATAATGGGAAAGACAGTGTAGCACAGAGCAGGCAAATAGTGACTCTGTGGCATCTTACTACACTGATGGGTAGTAACTGGAATGGGGTATGGGGGGAATGTAATAACCACATTGTTTTTTCATGTGAAACCTTCATAAGAGTGTATGTCAATAATACCTTAATAAAAAAAAACAAAAAATCAGCAGTTTAATCCATTATTTTAGAATAAAATTTTTACTTTATCTTGATATATTATAATAAATTTTTATGTATATATATCCATATATATAATAAAATTTTACTTTATCTGGACATATATGTTATATGTTATATATTATATATATTATTAGATAATTAAAAATTCTAGGTATGCTGCTATTTATTAACTGCTTTTATGTGCTGAGAATCTATTGTAGTCTTATTTCCACTCCCAACAAGGCTGTGAGCTACTATTCTATTTTATAAATGAGAAAAGTGAAGCACAGGAAGATTGGGAAAATTACTTCAGGTCACAGTTTGTTAATGGTAAGGATGGATTCAGAACCCAAGTCCATGGGTCTCCTCCTAATCACTTACCAACGAAGTGCCAACCTTAGAGTCATACTCCCCACACTACACACAGGCTGTTGAGACTTTCGGTGGGGGCAGGGAGAGGGAGGCTCAGACAAGGACCTAACCACTCCGTTCCAACCTTCGCAAGGAGCTGACTAGCAGACCTGAGGCTAGTGCCCTTGGCGGGTGGCTCAGGGAGGGGCCTTGTTGCAATACATAGAACCCCAGCCTTATGGGGAAGGCCATGGGGCCCCCTCTTGCAGTCAGTCGTACACTGGGCAGTGATTCCGTTTTACCACCGCAATCGGAGAGTACCATGTCCCAGAAGAACAGCAAACCTGGCCGCAGAGCCACACCAAGCCCAGGATACGGACCCACAGAAAGAGTAGGCAACAGCTTAGTCACCTGTTCCATGTCTCCCCTCACAGAATCGAAAAGACACAATGTCAAATACCAAAGCAACCTATTTGGGGTTCCTCCCTGCTTTAAGCCATAATCTGGGGTCTACGGACGGCCACCCGCGGGCCCACGAACCCTCGATGCTTACATGCAAACCGTGTGTTTTAGTTTTAGTTTTTGTTTCGGGAGGAGATGATCAATAGTTTTCCACAGATTTTTCAAATAGATAATGTCCACCCTCCACCCGCACCTCAAAAAATAAAGGTAAGAATCGAGGCTTTAAACTCTGTCATCGCTTCTCTTACATCTTTACCTCAGTCCCGCACCGAGTGTCAGTCCCACCCCCGTCGCCAGTCAGCCTTCCACTCCGTTCTCCTCTCCTCCATGCACGCCTACACGCACGGACGCCCCACGCACGTACCCCCACGCATGCGCCCCCACACGCACGCACCGCACGCATTCGCTAAACTTCACGTGCGCCTACACACACGCGCGCGCACACACCTCTCCCCACGCCCCTGCACACACATGCATTTCCACACACGTGTGTCTCCCCACATACCTCAGCACCCCCGCACACATGCATCCTCAGGAGCCTCCCCCTCTCCGCTCTCCCTTAGGGCTGGCTCCAGGCGAGGGCCGGCTCAGCCCTCCTCACGCCCCTAACCCCCGCCCTCGGCTTCGCGAGCAGCGAGGCTCCTCCCCAGCGCGCGGAGCTTCCCCCGCCCAAGCCTGTGGCCGCCCCGCAGGCCAGTCTGACAGGGCCGCGCCACTTTCCTCCTCACATCCCAGGAGACACCGGGCGGGGCGCCTCCCACACTGGCCTTCAGACTAAAGGGAAGGCATCCGCTCAGCCAGAACGAACTCCCTTGGTTTCCGGTCCCTCGGAATGGAGGCTGGGGAGGAGAGGGGAGGGGAGGGGCGTTTCTCAACCTTGCTGGGAAAAGTGCTCACCTGGTTCCCAAAGCCAGTTTGCCCTTCCTCTACTTCCTGCCAGAGAGAAGGGATTCAGAGAGAGAGCCAAGGTCTTTGGGGCGGGGAAGGGGAAATGACTCAGAGAGAAGGCGGCTCAGAGGGAGGGGCTGGCCTGGAAATGGGGTGAGGGGTCACTGGGAGTAGGAGGGAAAGGGGAAAAAGGAAGAGGATGGGAAAGCCGCGGCGGGGGTATTTTTGAGGGTGTCTGGCGCAGTCCTGGGAATCCTTCCTGGTCAACACCGAATGCAGGAGCAACCGGCTGGATCGTTTCCTCCGTGCTGGGACTTAAGCTCCTTTAGTTAAGCAGGCATCACGGAATCTCCTGGTCTGGATGGCAGCACGGGGATTAACTCTTCATCTTCTATGGAGCAAGTAATAGGCTTTACGTCACAGGGTTGCTACAAAGATTAAACTAGTTACTACATCTCAAATACTTAAAATAGTGTCAGGAACATTGTAAGCAATCAATCAGTGATAGCTCCTATTATTACAAAGATGGTCTTTCATTGATGATGGTCTCCCCTCTAGATTATGAGTCCCATGAGGGTGAGACTGTGTGTTTTGTCACTGAACTCCAGCACGTGACAAAAGAGGCTATCATGATTTGTTGAATGAACGAATAAATGAGCAATTGAATGAGAACTTGAATTAGTGGCTATGCCTAGACCCTCTCCTCTGCCAAGTAAGGGGTGCCTTTGTGGAAGTTTGAGGAAGAACGGCTAGGCTTGTGGAAACTGGCACATAGGGCCCCTGTTTGGTTGCTGTGTCAAGTGAGCTGCTCTGCCCTTGGAAAATGGAATGTCTTTGGCAATTTCCTACATGGACACATGGAAGGTTGTAAGACAGCCCAGCTGAAATTTGAAATTCAGAGGTGACTAGCTAGAGCAATGTTTGCATCTTTTACAATTAGTGAGTAATGCAGGATAGGGGCAGAAGCCTGAAGTGAAAGCTCAAAAATAATGGTGGCACATGTAAGTGGGGGAGATTGACATGGGAACTTCAAGTGAATAGAAATATGTAAGAGTTTAGTCAGTCACTCCAAAAGGGAATCTCATGGAAGTCCTAAAGTAACAATAATGTTACCCACTGCTCTGTTCTAGGGCTCCCGATAATCTGCCCTGATGTGCCGACATTCTTGGGGTAGGTATGCAGATTGACTCCTACCACTACATTCAGTAAATTTGTATTTATGGAAATTCATACTGTTAGAGCTAGAAGGAACCTTAGAAATTACTCATGTAATTGAAAAACTAAGCCAGAGATAGCAAAGGATTTGGGCCTTGGGATTCTCTGGCCTTGGTACTGAATTTTGCCGGGTCTGAATTTATTTTGTGTCCCGTTATTTTTTAAATCTCTGCCCCACCCCATCCCAATCCTTCCAAAATTCAGATGAATGAAAGCACATGAATAGGTCAGCATAAAGGAGGGAGAGAGGAAGTTCCTCAACAGATACTGACTTCACTTCTTTTGCTTACCCAAGTGAAGGTACCTGGGCATTCAGCTAGGTGCTGTAGGAGAACAGCCCCACCATGGCACCATAGACTCTGTAGGCCAAGGTTTAAGCCACAGCTACTCTGTGTCTTGGCAGAACACCTATGATACTTCCAGAGCATGAGAGGATGAGAGGACTGCAAGGAGCTGTTTCAAGGCCATCTCCCCCTGCCTCCGTATCTCCTCTGACTCCTGGGAGGCTGTCAAGAGAGTTTTTCATCCTTTACCACCTCCTGAGCTCTGATGAGATGAGACACTTCCTGACTCAGAGAGCTACAAACACTAAAGCCACTTAGCTTCACTCAAGAATTGGCTTCCTAACAATGGGACTACCATTGCAGTCCTCTGGCCCCTTTTGTTTCAGTGTCATCATTTTTGGTGTTTGGGACAAGGACCACTAGGAGCAGGAAACTTTGACTACTTTTTCTTTCACTGTAAATAATAAACTGCTAGAATCTAAAAGTGATTAGCTATCTTTACCTGCCAAATCAGTCAGGCCTTGGACTTGGGCTTAATGCTGCTTGCTGTGAATTTCCCATTTCAGGTATATCACAGCACCCTTCCTTATCACTGAGGGATTTAAGCTGGACAAGAAGATATGTGGATCATAATGGCTTTTCCCTGCCACTGTACATCAAAGAGAAAATCAGCCCAAATTCCATTTTGGGGGACTTTCAGTCTGCCTGGAGGAGTAGCAGATCCTCTTTGCATTCTGTGCACAAGGCTAGCCCAAAAGAAAGAGTTGACATCTATATTCTGTTATTTGAAAGACTCTTCTTTGCCCAAAATATGTCTTGAAGCCTGCCAGAGTATTTATTGCTGGCTGACCCTTCCAAATCTGAAAGTCTGAAGCTTGCCTTCCAGGCCTTGTCACCTCCAGGTTGGACAACAAAAGCATTGTTTCTAGAAGGCCCTTGTTAACATTTTCTTGTTTTCTGAGAAGCAAGGAAGAGGTAGAGCGAGAAGTTGGTAGGGATGTGAATTTTGTGTACACTCCTCCATTAGTATATTATTGGTAACTAATTTATTAATCCTTCTAAGTGTTCCTTTTGAAGGAGAATGGCCTTAAAAAAACAATGAGTCTGTTTCCAAGAAGCAGTTGTGGGAATGCTGAACCAGCAATACAGGCCTGAGGGGTAATATACAAGTGGTGGTATGGAGTTCACATAAGACAAACTTCACAATGTACAAAGTGGCCTGCTTGTCATTCTGCTTATCAGGTTATGCTTCTATAAAACCAGCATTTACTAAGTATCTCCTTTATACAAGTCAGATAAGAGCTTCCACAATCATCCCTGTATCTCCAGTAAAGGCTTCCTTTTTCAGTGCCACTAATAACCCTAGTTCATAAACTGAAAACTATTTGGGAAGAATTACTGATTTGGGTACCCACTTGTCAAGGTCCCTGGAGTCACCAGCTGGATTCATCATTCTCATGTGAAGCTGTGGAAAGATCCTGCAGTGCAGACTCACAAGGCCCAAGGACCCAGTTAAACCTGTGAGCCTGTAGAAGATCTAAAGTATCTTTTCAAGCAAAAGTCACCTAAGATAAGTGCCCCATGACTCCAGTTTCCTGGGTCTTCCTTGGTGTCTCCATGGGAGTGAAACTTGTCATTTTCCTTATTCTCCTGTGCTATTGTGGACCCCCTTCCTTTGGCCAGCAGTATTTCTGTCCCTGTTGGGTTTAAACCTTGAAAAGAAATGGCCTTAAACCTGCCATTATTACTATTATTGACCCTCACCTTATTAGTCCCTCTCCTGGCAGCTGTATACCCTCTAACCACAATAATTAACAAAGTTGCTAAATTAACCAACCAAGCCAATTGCTGTGTCTGACCCCACCAAGATCATCTTGAAGATGATGTAAATCTTCTGGGCATTCTGATGTCCCTAGAAACTATTGCTAATACTACAGCACAATATTGGAGATTTTCTTATACAATTTACACTACCACCAAAAATGATGGAGTTGGTGGAGGTCTGCTACCCCTAAATCCATAGTGGGTCACTCCAACACCAACTGAATAGGTAGGTAGAGTCCATCACCTAGCTGCAAAAGCTAGTCTGTGCTTCTGTAATTCCTGGGACACCAGTCCCCTCTTGGGAATCCTCAACTATTCATTCTGTAATGTGACCTTTATGTATGATCATACTTTTCATGAGTGGGAACCACAATTCCAAAAGGACTTCACTGATGAAGGAGAAGAATTTAACATCTATAGCCTTAACTGTACCATCACCAGGGAGCCATATTTCCAAGGTTATGGTGGGGCAACAATAAGTACAATGCCACCAAGCATTATGCAGGCAAGTCTTGGGCCATAGTCAATAGTTCATTGAGACAGGGACAATCCTTGACATCCCAAATGTCACAATCCCAAATCTTACCCTCCCTCCTTCAATTCATTTTCAGAAGCCTTCACTGCCAGATTCCTTATACCCACAAGCAATCCTTCGACAGCGTCTCTCCTTTATGTGTAGATGATGATTTCACAGGCATGTGCTACCCTCTACTTTTGACCCTTGGGGACCATGGGATCCCTCTATTTTAGCCAAATATAGTAGCCTCCTAACTTCACACAAGTATGCTTGTCTACAAGGATGGTCCACTGGGGTCACGCTGGCAGGAACAGGACTATTCTTCCTTTGTGGAACAAACGTACTTGACCCTGACTAGAGGATGAAAAGAGTACTGCACAATAATTGCAGCCATCCCTGATGTATTGACTCTTAACAGTACCTCCTTCCCCACCTCTGGGCAGCTGCCTAACCTAGGCTCCTTCCTGGATGTGTCATTATGGTGCCAGACTGGGAAAAGCCTAGTGCCCCAGCCCCCCAGTATCAGCAGGCTAGCCACAGATAACCCAATATTAGACATGAACAGCCTAGGATACTCAATATTCCATGGTCGGTCTCTTTTGGTTTATAAAGATTCCTGAACTTGAGAGGAGCATTAGAAACATATCCCCTGTCATACAAGACACCTGGAAAGTGACAGTAGCAGCCATAGTAGCCCAGCAAAAATCCTCAGACTCCCTAGTGCAAGTAGTCCTCCAGAATAGGAGAGCCTTAGATGTCTTCACTGCCGAGACTGGCGCACAGTGCCATACTTCATGATATCTATCATTTGTATGTCAACACCTCAGGTTTAGTAGAAGAGAATCTAAAAAAGATCAAAAGAAATATCCACCTCTTTGACAAGCCTGCCAAAAGGAAAACACAGGCCTCCTGGCTAGGCCAGATCTCAAATCCCTCACAGGGTGGGTGTGACCTTGTCCTTGGAGTAGTGGTATTAGCTCTCATATTTGACCATGCTTACTTAATCTTCCAATCCAATTTGTGTCTTCTCACCTAGAAGCACTCAAACTGCAGATGGTCATGACACAAGGATTCCAACCCATACCCTCAGATGACTACACACCCATCTTCATGGGACCACTTGATAGACACCCCTACAGCCAGCCTGAGTCCCCCTTGCCTCAGCAGATAGCAAGTGACTGAGACCCCTAGATAGGGTACCCTTACTGACCTAATCTCCTCCATCCTGATAGTTAGCAAGCAGAAGGACCCAAAAAGCCCACACTGTCCCTCACAGCAGGAAGTAGCCAGAGCGGTCATCACCCCTCACCCCAATGATTTGGATCCCAACTGCTTAAGGGGGGATTGTTAGGCAGAAAGGTAGACACGAGCAGTTGGAGGGAGAATAAAGGCAGTAAAGCCCACTAAAAGGGGCTCAAAGAGTTAACCTGATAAAACCAGAGAGATGGAAAAGACTCAGAGTTAATTAGTTGAAGTTTCAAGGACTAGGAATTACTTGGAATGTCCACACACTCCCCAGACAAGAAAAAAAAACATATCCAAATGAGATATCTCCAAGCACAGACTCTCCCCAGATAAGAGAAAGTAAAACATCCAAAGACAGGCACAGAATTCATCAGAGCAGCCCCTGTCTTCTTTTTATCAATTAGACCAGGCCTTCAAGGCCAGAGATCGTTAATCAAGGACTTCCCCACCCTGCCAAGACCCCATAAAATAAGCCTCAGAGTAAATTGCCTATGCCTGTCTAACTTTAGGCAGACCCACTCTGCTGTACAGGGTGAAATAAAATTCACTTTACCTTCTTACCTTTGGTTTTGTGTCTCACTTTATCTGATTTCTGGGCATGTTCAAATCGACCTTCTCCCCAACACACTAGAATATGTTAGGAATACTTTTTTCATCTTATTATGTCATCCCAGAAGTGAGAGGAATACTGGGAATATCATGAGTGATCAACAAATGCTTCTTGAATGACCAGGTCAAGCCACTCAACAATTGTAATTTGTATATTGTGCTCAGAAGTTATAGAAAGTCCAACTTGATCCTTCACCCCTCGAAATCCACAGTGGGAGAAACTAATTCTCATTAGCTATCACACTATATGCATTTCCAATATCCCTTAACAACCTAGTTGGTCTGTTACTCTTAAACTTTGTATCTGACCATCTTGCCCCCACAGTGGGCTTCACTGAGACTCTAGGACCAACCCTACTCCTCAACAGCGGAACATAAAGAACCTCATGTCTGCTCTAACCTGGCACATTAAATGCAGCCAGGCTTTCCAAATATCACCCCCCCACAAAACACAGAGAATCTCCACTGTAGATAATAGCCCTATATTTGGATTTTTCACAGGCTGCTCTCCAGTTAAACACTAACCCCCTTATATTCCAAATTCCTGCCTCTTTCATATTTTAATTCTCCTTTTTTGGGTTACATTTCCTATAAGCCCTTGGTCTGACAACCTGTTTCAAGCCACTTCTCTAGCTACTCCCTGTGACTGGCCTGCTTCACTTTACACTGCATGGCTCCTTTAGTCTTGGTGCAACCATGAGTCTGATGAAAGGATGCCCAAGCCCAGCTCTGAGGCATCTCCTAACCCTCCAAGCTCCCCTACAGGCCAGGTATTTTAACAGCAAGTCAGCTCACTTCTGGCCCTATAGGCCGTGACCTTAACCAGTAGGTTCCAGCAATGGAATTTTGTTAATCCTTAATTTCCACATTCTGCCCCCATCCCTGAAACCAAGTGTATCATGTTTTCCTGGGCCTTATACCTTCATTTCTTTGGTCTTCCTGACAGTATCTTGCTCCTGAAACCAAATTCTTCATGACTGGATCTTGATTTGCAGATGCTCTAGATCCTCTCTGTCCAAATCTCTACCTATTATATGATAATTAATTTTCCCCAAGTTATTTAGACAATTCCAGTAACGCATGGCCATCTTCATTTTAATCTTCCCCATTTAAACTGTAGAGAGAGACAAGGACTCATGTATACATATATATATTTATTTAATTCATAATATACCATTTTGGATGGGCTGGGATATTTTAGAGGGATGAGGCTGTGTAATCTACAGATGTTCAGATTTCTGTCACTAGCAGAAATGCTATTGGTCCAGAGCTCCCAATACAAACCAACCTGGGGAAAATATTTGATTAAAAATAGTCCAACAATAGTCTAATAAATATTCTAGCTAACAACAACAACACAGCATATGTCTGAAGCTGGCAGACCAGACTGTAAAAGGCAGTTTTACCTGACCTGATGGCAGTCAACCTGGCCAACCTGTAATACACAGCCAAATGCAGCCCAATGGCTCCAAGGCTGTTAATTGGCTTCACGAATTGAAATAAGTATGGGAATGGTTCTTATCTGTCAGCCTCACATTCTCCAATCTGTAGAGGATAGGGTATCAAAAAGTCCATCCATGGATTGCTCCATCCAGGTAGTCATATATAAATATGTAAACCATGGAAGCTTAGAAAATTCACCTAGTGTATTTTAGTGGAAAAGAACATGTAAGTGGTTCTGCTGCAATCTGAATTTCACTGCATCCAAAGTTACACAATGGAATTCATGATAAAAACACATCCAGATGCAGCTACTTTTACTTACAAGCAGCCAGAACTCCAATGTGGCATTAAAATTTATTTCATATTCTCAAAACAGGTTTAACTTTGTTTTTGATTATTTTTGTGCTTCCTTCAACAAGACAATATAAAAATTGGAAACAAGCATAAATTGCAGACAGCATAATTTGCTAGCAGAAAGGATTATAGGAGAATAGGTAGAGTAGAGCAACAACAGTGAAAACTTATGGAGTCACCTTCTTTAAAGATGTTAAATAGAAATCCTATTACCTTTCTGCAACTGGATTTAGCTAGAGGTAGTCAATGACTTACTTCTCTTAAGGTCCCTGGCATTTCTACAAAAGTCTTAAGTTTACTAAAGTGAGTATCTGATACTCACTACACCACCACTGAATATTTTGCCACCCTGTTGTTTTTTGGAAACCACTTTTCATTATTTGGCTCAGTAACCTCATTGCTTACCCCAAAACACAGTTTTATGTCCAACTTTATTCAGTAGGCTTAACTCTTGAGTGATTTTTGGCTATAACAAAAACTTAAATCCACCTTCAAAGAATGAAGTGTGAAAAGATTGAAAAGTTATTGAAAAGAATGGTGCCACATGCTCCAGACAACTCCCCCCATTTATATGGATGAATCCTGGGACATCTTCAAAATTGTATCAGTACAGCCTAAATGGAGAAGTAACCAACCTTTTTCACCCAGGCAACAGCAAACACCAGTATGGATATCGGAGTACAACAGGGAAACTTGATTATTCATTTGTTCATTCATACATTCATTCAATAAACATTAGCCAGGCAACCACTCTGTTTCACACATGATGCAAGGTGTTAAAAATACAACAAGAAAAGATACAGTCCCTGCCCTCAAGGTATTTATAGTCTAGTAGGGAAAATGATTATTATACATTAAATTTTTATGTGCCTCAAAATTATCTGGGAGCTTGTTACAAATGTAAAATGCCACCTATGTGCCCAGATGTTCTATTGCTTTAGCAAACCCAAACGTCCAAGAGGTGGTTTGAAGACCACACTTTGAAAAACACTGCTCTACAATGTGATCATTGCCAAGTGGGGAAATGTTCATGGTGCCACGGGAGCTCCAACGAGGAGAATACAACCCTGTCTAGGGAGTCAGGGGTTAATCTGGTTGACTGGGGGAGCGGGAAGTAGTCCAGGCTACAGACAAAAGTAAGGTGGGGAAATTAGAGCTTTGTTCCAGGGCACTAAAATCAAAAGGGCACAAAAAAATGAATGGCATGGAAGACCCAAGGACAAGGTAAAAGAGGTTGGACTGGGACGGAGGTGCAGTGTTCTGCACTTACAGCCTTTTCACCCAATTCACTTACTTTAAGAGTATTTCCTACTGTTACTCTGCGCTCCAAAATTATTAATAATGAATCTTTTCCAGGCCCAGAGAATAATTTATGTAAATAGTTGAGCTTGGCTAGAGTGACCACCATGAGGAGGCAAGTGCAAAAGATGAAGCTGGAAAAGCAAACAGGGACCTGAAAAGCCAAACCCTAAGTAATTGGCACCTTCTACTGAATGCTCTGGGAATGTGTGAAAGATGTTATGAAAGGGGGAAATCATTTGTTTTATTTAAGAATTTGGATATAGGTCCTAGAGGAGAGACCAGGGGAATTTAGAAATGAAGGGCATACATTTTAAAGAACTGTTACACTGTATTGAGGCTGGGGCTGGGGCTGGGGAATGGGGGTAATATTTGTTGCACACTTAGTTAAATGCCAGGTGGTGTACTAGGCAGTTTAAAAACATGTGCTACCTTTTTTAATCTTTCTAACAGCCTTGTGAGGTAGGTATTACTTTACAGAAGAAGAAACAGGCTCAGAGAAGTACTTACCCTGGGTCACACCACTAGTAAATGGCAGAGGAACTAGGATTATTTTAGTCCAAAGGCTATGAGTTTTCCATTACAGTAAGCTATTTCCCAGCACTGCTGAATCATACTGAGGTTGCTCACATCCTAATTAGCAGGAAGTACATATAGCTTTTAAAACCGAAAAGCTGACTTTGCCACTAGATACGTAAGGTTTGAGCCTGCCGTCTGTATCTGCATCAGTCTTGCTTTCTATGTTAGGTGAACAAACAATACAAAGCAATTATTTAGAGGGTTTATATAGATATTTTGTCTCTCCTACAGAATAGTAGGCCATTTGACAGCAGGGACTGTATTTCATCAACATGTCAGCAGCAGGGTTGTACCTGGCATCTAGTAATTTGTTGAATGAATTAACGAATGGACATCCACAAAAGTAGTGGAAAGAAGAGGAGGGGAAATTTGGGCATTGTTCCAAGGCTCCAATCTGAGGGCTTGTAATAGCTATCACTTTGCCCAACAGTAATATTTTCACAGCTTCCAAGAAGTAGACTCTTTGAAGTAGACCTAGCTCCAGGAAAGGAGAAACCTCTGGTTTTGACATCCCCAGTCCCTGGAGAGGAGTGGACAAAAGCACAGACCGTAGAGCTTGATTTCCTTCAGTGATGGTGATGAGAACTGCAATGAAGTTGACATCACACGGCATTTGCTATAAAGGGTTGGCTTAGCAGATGAATAGTGTAAACAGCATTGCAAGAGGAATGATTGTTTAACCTGTTTACAAAAACTGTTCTCAGGAATTCTTAAGTACTTCTGAAGTGTTTTATCTGAAAATACATTTATATGCAAATACTTGTATCAGTAATACTTCATTCTTACTGGTTATGTAAATAAAGCAGGTTCCTAAAGAACCTCCATTATGCAACTCATTTTTAGCTTAATTCTAGCAACTGTATTTAATAAGAGTAATAAAACTGTATTTCTTTGAGGTATTCTGCAACAGAATTTTTCACAATTCAGATGACCCTCCTCCATTAGGTAGCATCAATGACACTGTGCTACGCATCATTCTTCTGCCTGGATCAATTTTCCATCCAGTAAGAGCATCTCTTGTGCAATCTTGTCCCCTCTCCTAACCCAACCCAGAGCTCTTCCCACCATCTATGTTATTATTGCACGTGTATGCATGTGTGACAGGAAGAAGGAAGGGAGGAGTGGATGGAAGGAAGGGAGAAATACCGGCGGATTGTGCTGTTCCCTTTAAGGGACAAAAATGGATGGTATACTTTATTTTCCCTCCTAGTATATTTCTCAGTCAAATGAGCAAATTAAAAAATTTATTATGTGTATATATAATTTATATAAGATGAATATATATAGTCATCTTATATATATTATATATACACATACATGTTTTCTTTATAATAAATCCTTGATTGTAGGTTTTTATCAAAAGCTACATATAATGTATGATCATTTGACACTTCAAAATTCTACTTGGCTACATTGGCCAGTACTAGAGAGCCTGACACCCCTCTCTTTCTCGGGCTTGCTAGCCCCTTGTTCAGAGCATCTTTCTACATTATTTACCTAGAATTACCCTAATTTCTTCCATTATCATTTATACTCCTAAATCATTGGGAATTTTTAATTCTCCAATTACAAGAGAGGCATTCTTTAAATTTCTTCCCCAATGGCTTAAGTTCTGAGAAACTTGATACATTAATTGAAATACAGGCTTTAATGCACAAAAATTTAATCTATAATATCTAGTTATTTTGGATGCTTCAAATGAACTTTATTTTGTGTCTCATATATTGAACACTAACTGAGGTTAGGGAGGGGAAGAACTGCTGAACTGGAGAGCCAGTGAGTTATATGCTCTCTTGAAAGTTAATGGCAAGCTTTCATCCCAGAAACATAAGGGGATTCTTGAGGCCTGCAGTTACATTCCTGGCGCTCAGGGTAATCAATAAAATCTGGGGCAGGCAAGCCAGACAGGATCATTAGGGATTTGTTCCAGATTGTGAATGTTGGACAAACTGGAAGAATGAAGGTCACATCAAAAGTATGAAGATGGAGAGAATTAGCTGGGTCATAGAAAGACAACATATTGTTGTCATAATCCAGAAGGACACCCAGACGCTTCAACTGTGGGGGCACATCCACCAGCATTTCCTTGTTGTTATGTCTCACGACAAAGTTACTATTGCATCGGGAGAATACCCATGAGGAGGCATTCTTGCCAATCCATTCATTCTTGGGAGCTGATTTATAGGCAATGCCAATTGCATACCTGTGAGACAGTGGAAAGGAGAGAGAAATAAATATTTATTAATGACCTGAGTTGTGCTAGACACTACAAGAAATATATAAGAAATAGAATACATGTTCTTCCTTAAATAGTTTACATGTAGATACATAATGCTGATACCAGTAGAGCTTTACAAAGTTAGCAAGTAGAGTGATGTATTAATTTCCAACTGCTAGTCTAGTATATTTTCCATGATTTTATATGAAAAAAAAGCTGGCAATTTTTTCTAGGAGTGGTTTTCATCACATGCCTTTTAACCTTGATTTAACTGGTACTAGGTCTGTGCTACAGAATGAACTCTCTCAGGAAAGTAACAACAGAGGAGATAAGAAAAATGAAAAGTGGGATCCACTCACCATGTTGAGGAACTCATGACCACTTCCCAGTAGTGGCAGCCACTGTCAATGAATATATTTCCTGCTGCCCCATAGCACCCTGTGCCACTAAACCTCTCTGGAGTATGACTCTTCTTCAAAGAGCTTTCATCCTTCTCCATCTGTAATCCATCATTGGAGATCTTCAACTTCTTGTGAGTCATTTTGGGATCCAGTTTAAAGGGTTGGCCTGAAAAAAGTAGAAAAAAGAAAACACATAAGGAAGTATTTAAGAATTCTATCTTTGTCCTCCAGGTCCATCGCTACCAGGGGAGCCTCACTTATGATGATCATTCTTGGGTCAGTGCAAGTTGGCTGCTGTTTGGATTCTATTAAGGAAGCAAGCCAGAAGCCACCATTTTCAGTAAGAACAAGGTGTCCCCCTTCCATGTTATCAAATTAAATGTGGCTCTCTGGGTCTCATGTTCTCAAATATGTTTTTACTTTGCTTTATTTCAGTGGGTGGTGGGGGATTTGAGTAGCTTTTACGGACAGGAGTATCTCAGGTGAAACAACATGAGAGGAATTGATGGGGTAACTGCTGCTTGGTGGCAGAACAAAAGAAACGGACAACTCAGTAATAGGATGATTTTTTTTCTGCCTTCTTACAATTGGTATGGGAACAACATAAACTTGGGCAACTTGGAATGACTGTTGCATCATCAATGATCAGAGAAAACATTATTGTGTAGAATCATTCACAACGGAGAATTGCTTATAACTTTATGACAAAACCAGTAACTAGGAGCCAATTTCTGGGTATGGCGAGAGCTATATTATACAGAATGTGTCTGCAGCAGACACTGTTGTTGAACACAATACCCATTTCCTACTTTTTCTTCCTTACTTTCACTATAGAGGCCAAAAGAGCTAAATATGCAAGTTCCTAGCTAGCCTACCTTGTTTCTAGGGGTGGTTAATAAGATGGAAGCAGAAGTCAGAAAGGGTGGGGGAAGCTTCTGGGGGAAGCTTCTAGAGGTTGCAGTGGCCATGTGACCACGTGGGAATAACCCAAGCACAAAGGGAGAAGCAGCCGGGGTCTTTTACAACATCACAGAACTGCTGCACCAGCTCTGAAACTGCCCCTGAATCACCGACTTCCAAACTTCTTGCTATGTGAGAAAGAGAAAAAAACACCCCATTTGTTTTAGCTACTAACAGATACTCTTTGTTAAGCTAAATTGGTTGGATTTTTGGTCACCTGCAGTCAAAAGCATTCCTAATAGGCATGGCTTCTCTGCACAAGTATTTTACCAGATTACCATAGAGTACTCCTTTATTCAGCTGTCCCCCAGGTGTGGGGGAGGGGTACGTGGAAAAACCCTTCTCTACCATTCTGCCAAGCCACCAGCTTTATGTGTGTCTCTGCATCCATATATCCCCCAAGGGCGCCAACAAACCCCTTGCCCAAAGCACACACTACAACCATGAAGTATCTCTATCCAATATCTCTGAGTTTCTTGTGCTGCCGTGGTGTCTGCTCAGGTGAAGTGTACTCCCTGGCACAGAGGGGGCAGGTGACCTCTCCTTTCAGAATCACTGCAACGTACTGTTTGTTTTCAGCCGGGTCGGTTCACTATTCCGGCTGCCCGCTTGGTTTATGGCTTTAACGATGAAGATGTAGCGCGTCCCGCTCTGGAGTCCATGTACTGTGTAATGGTTCTGTTTAATGTTGGGCACAATCATCCAGCTATCCACTGAATTGTACAGGCCTGTAAAGTGGAGAAAGACAGGGATGTTAACTGGAAGGTCGTAGAGATAGGATGAGAAGCATACTGAAAATTCACTGTAACTCCTCCCTCCAAAAAAAGTAAATTTCATTTTGATTTCTTTTGAGTCCTGGAAGACATAATGAGATGAACCTCCTCTGTTTCTTTTCTCCCATGGCTCTAGGCTTATACCAGTCTCCTCACTTTTGGCAAATGAATGTCAACATTAGTGAAAGTTGGGTCACTTCAATTTTCTGCCAAACAATACAGAACTGTGGGAAACTATATACAAATCACAGAACCATCACTTTTACACAGTTTCTGGATCCTGGATCTTTACCCCAAAGGTCCAAATCCTCTGGGAGCTGAGTCTAGCCTTAAGTGGATGGAGTGCGGTCCTGTGCAGAGCACAGGAACATGGAACCTCAAAGCTGAAAGGCCACCTAATGCCATATTTTCCTCACTGAACAAATGGGAAACTAAGATCAAGAGAAGAAAAGTGACTTGCCCAAGGCCCCAGATTGTTGGTGATAGCACTGAGAGTACAATCCTGGTCTCTAATTCTAGGCCAGTGTTCTCTCCACTACATCACAATTCATAGGGGTGAGCAACAATGCTCCTTTGTCTCTGCAAGGTAGCAAAGCTTTCAGGGCTTATGACTCAACTCCTACCCCATCCTCACCCTTACTTACAAAACTAAGTGGGCTCCAAGGTATAGAAAGCCAAAGAGATAACATGATAACCCACGCAAAATGTCATCTTCTCACTTGACACTACCCATTTTTATCCCTTCCTGGTTCTAATTCCAATACCCATTTGAGGAGGTTGGGTGGTTCAAAAACACATTGTTGGCTGGAACCTTTTTTTCCCTCCCAAGTAGGAAAAGGGATCAGAGATCTAGGGTTCTGCTTTTGAAATTCTTTAGACCATAAACATTGATTTAAACAGAGAAAAAAAAGCACATAATTAAAAACATGTATTTGGCTGTTAGTAAAAGAGAGATTGACATCCTAGTTTGTGGATTATCTATACTTCTCTCTTATTATCTGATTTTCAGGAAGTTCACTGATTTTTAACCACAATTCTACCAGAGGGTGGAAAGGAAAGGAAAGGAAAATGTGTGGCGAATTTAGTCACTTCTATGCAGCTCCAGCAAAGGGCTTACTGAGGTTGAAAACCGAAAATAATAATGGGTGTTTTTGAAAGAGATCTCATGAGGGTCTTATAATTAACTTGGGGGGAGGCTGAAAAAGTCTAAATTAAAACTATAAAAGGAAGCATAATGGAGGGCAACCAGATATGCTATGGAAAAAAGAATAATTGGTGGAGATGCTCAGTGAATCTCATGGAAAGACAATAAGGAGAAGGGCCAGGAACAATGTTTGAAGGCTTAGCTGTCTATGTACCAATGCACAATATGAATCATAAACTGTGCATGAAATTTTAATACAAAGAGGGAAAAATATAATTTTCCAGGTAAACTTCTAACAAAACAAAATAAACTTCACAATGAGGTACTATGCAGCTCTGACAAAGAATGAGGATGATCTCTTTGAACTGATATGAAGTGATTCCCAGGGTATATAGTGTTATTGAAAAAAACAAACTTCAGAAAAGCATATATATAGTATGCTACCTTTTACATATATATATTTGCTTGGATTACAAAACAACAAAACAACAAGAAAGAAAAACCAGAAAATAATGAACTTGGTTACCTATAGGAGAAGGGGGTAGGGGGTGGGATTAAAAGGATATGGCAGAGAATGACACTTTTCTGAACATACCTTTTTTGTACAGTTTTGCATTTGGAAACATGTTTTATGAGTATGCTGTTTTACAAATACAAAAATTAAAATGAATGAGAAGAGTGGGGACCAAAACTGAAGGAAACTGAAATAAATGGACCCAACTACATTTCAAATGAACACCACTACACAAAAGGGATGAGGGCAGAAGGAGAACTGAAAACAAATCTGAACTATTGTGTGGTTTTGTAGTAGTATATAGGCAAAGCAATTCTGAAACTATTTTAGATATGTTATGGGAATGAGCAAATGAATATATATGTTGATGATGTTGGGAGCCAGGGTTCTCATTGTGGAACTAAGAACATACAAATACAGAAAGGCAAGAAAGAACCTGTAAGGATGGACTGGAATTGGACGCATTGGTATGATTTCATGATTTCTCATATATATGTGTGTGTGTGTGTGTGCACATATGTGCACGTTAAGAATGTGTGCATGTATATTATGTGTGTGCATATGTATGTGTACGTGGGTATATGTGTGTATTCCTAGTAGCCAGGTTTTGGTCTCTAATACCATTCTTCCACGAAAAGGAACTGGGGTTTCTTGGAATAATGACTGGTTTCAAGGCTGGCACAGGATAAGGTCAAAAATGGGCCAAGAATCTTTTGTTATGCTGGAAAGTAAGGAAGTGCTAGAAAAAAATGGGAGAATATAAGGACCCAGGAATCAGTTTAAAATGATTTTACTGGTTAAATCTGGGCAATTGGGGCACCAAAATGAGTAAGAGCAGTAAAGAATTATAAACCACTGAAGAAAATTCAAGTCCATACTAAAAAGTAGATGAATGAATAAAAGGAGGGTGGAGCTTTTGCTTATAGTAGAATGCAGAGTGTCAACCTGTAAATGTGGGAGGGAATGCTCAGTTGGAAAATCATCATTTTGCAATCATCCGAGTAAAGATTGGATCAGGCAAGAATTATTGACTGATGCTGAAACAGGAGTGGAGATGGGATTGGTTCGATGAGAAAGTAGGATATTTTCATGGTCTTAAAGTATCACCACACATATTGCTTATTAATTGCAAAAGAAAAATAGTGACTCCAGGTTGAAAAGATCAGGCAACACCTTTGACCAGATGATCAAAATTAGCATCACCAATGAAGGGCAAGTGGACATTGGACGCCTTATGTAGTATTCTAGCCATGAACGCATAATCTGAATACAATTGTGAGGAAATACCAGACAAGCCCCAAATAACGAGAAGTATAATAGAGAAATAAAAGGGCATTTACAAAAATATCAATGTCATTAAAGACAAAGAAAGGCTGAGGAAATGTTTCTGATTAAAGGAGGCTAGAGATATGACAATTAAATGCAATACCTGATCCTTGACTATAAAGGAGAATATTGGATCCTTTATATGTTATAAAGGATATTATTAGGTCAACTGTCAAAACTGAAGTATGAATGGTGGATTAGATAAAATATTTCATCAACATTAAATATCTTAAAATTGATAATGATACTAAAGTTATCCTTATTCTTGGGAAACATATACTGGACAATTTGGGGGTAAAAGGCCATAATGTATTCAATTTACTCTCAAGTGATTCAGAGAAAAATTGAGAGGATACTAACAAATGATCAAGGAGATGGGCAAAATATTAATGATATGTAAATCTGGGTAAGAGTATATGGGTGTTCCTTGTACTAGTCTCACAAAGTTTCTGTAATTTTGAAGTCATTTCTAAAATTTAAAAATATGATCCCCTGGGTATCACCAAGACTTGGTGAGATGGGATTTATGACTGAATTATGGTAATGGAAATATACACTTTGCTCAAAATGGAAAGACCACAATATTGAAATCTCTGAACCTGAGTGTAAATGTGTGGTAGGGAGCATTTGCAAGAGCATGAAAAGAGGTGGGGGGGAATAAAAATTATATCTTTATGTCAGTATGTTATAGACTGCTTGGCCTGCCAGAGGTTATAGCCAGTGCTTTCATAATGCAAAACACAAAATTGAAACAGAGAAATGATATATGGTAATGGGGCAGACAATTATCCAAACTTCTGTTGGAATTCTCATTCAGCTAACATCACCATCTGAAACATTAATGGCTTGTGGCCATTTTGAATCTTAGAAGAAGTAGGGAGGAAATTAAAAATGAAGGAAGGAAATAAAAATAAATAAATAAGGGGAATTACTTCTCCAGACAAAATTCTAACCAGAAGGAAGAAATTTCCAGTTGGAGAAAATGTGGAGTTTGACTATTTAAAGGTTCTTCATATAACAGGTATCATGCAGTTTTTATCCTTCTGTGTCTGGCTTATTTCACTTGCATAATGCCCTCCAGGTTCATCCATGTTGTCCCAAATGGCAGAATTTTCTTTTTTAAGGATGAATAACATTCCGTTGCATGTATATACCACATTTTCTTTATCCAATTCATCTGTTGATAGATGACTTTTTGTATGTCAATTATACCTCAGTAAAATGGTTTAAAAAAGAGAATATGTGGAAAACCTCAAGGGAAAGTAGCTCTTGGAACTGAGGTTTAGTCAACAGTGGCAGAACAGTGTGGCAGGCCAGACTGACAGGTAGGACTGAGACCTTGAATCTTCATGAGTATTTATTCCTAGTTTCATCTTATCTGCCCATTGCCATCTGAAATCCTGCTTCAGCACTTTGCCCTTATCCCTGTCCTATTGCATTTTTCTATCAATGATCAGAAGAAGACATAGAAAGCAGGCTGGGAGGGAAAGTAGGTGTATTGGAGGGCAGAAACTGGATCCAAAAGGATTTTGGCAGTCTGGATTGAGGAGTCAAAGCTAACCAGATAAAACATAATAGGAATGAATTCAACTCATTATATTTCCACTTAGATAATCAATCATACAGGAATAAGATTTGAAATACCTAGAGATTTCAGCTGACAGTATGCTCAGTCAACACTCAGTAGTCAATGTAGCTACTGGAAAAAAAGGTACAGGTCAGGGGAGCATCAGGTAATGTACAAGAAAAATAATCCAGCTATTCTTTGCAATGGTCAGACCACTTTTGGAGTATTGTATTCACTTTTTGGACAGCATCTTTTAGAAATAATTTTGACAAACCAGAGTGTGTCCATAAAAAGGATACCAGGATGGTAAAGGGTCTGAAACCATACCACATGAGGAGCAATTCAAAGAACTGAGGACATGTAGCCTGGAAAAAAGAAAGTTTAGAAGGGACATGAGCGCTAACTAATATTATTTGAAGAACTTGCATGTGGAAGATGGATTAGGATCGTCAGTGAGGCACAAAAGGGCAGGTCTAGGGCTAATTGGCAGCTGTGGTTTAATTCAAGAAACATTAAGCTTAAAATCTTACAGGCCTAGGGTCAAATCTATGCTATCAGTTTGTAGCTTTGTGACCTTGGGCAACTCATTTAACTTGAGCCTCAGCTTCTTTATCTATAAAATAGAATCACTATCATCTATTTCATAAGGCTAAATAAGAACTAATGAGGACTAAATCAGGCAATGTATGTGAAATCATTTGGAAATGGAAAAGCATAATACACATGTGAATTATTATTGTCATTATTTACTTGGAGGAAGAGTTAGGCCTTTTATAAGGAAGCACTGACAATTATTTATAGCTGAACAGCAACTGAATGGGCCATTTTGTTAGAAGTGAGCTACCCGTCACTGGAATTTTTCAAGCAAAGACAGGATGATCAGCTACTGGGAGTCTGGTAGAAGGGAAGAAGATTAGACTAGATGACTTCTAGGGTTCCTTCTAATTCTAAGATGCTATGATTCTATTGTTATTAGGAATTATCCGATCAGCTTTTCTTTACAAAGGACTATACATCCTTGAAAATAGAGGTGAAGCTTTTAGATCTTTGTCACTTCTTGGATTTATGCTCAACTCCCAGGAGACCACTGTTCTCCCCATATCAGGAAAGAGAAGCACAGTTGCTGGTTCTGAGACTTTCCAGAGCAAGACAGACAGACAAGTGCCGAAAGGCACATTGGGGGATGCTTAGAATTTATGACTTCATAACCAGAAGAAACACCCAGGAACTCAGCTACACCCAGGAACACAGATGGCTTAAGTTGGAGCTGCATGAGGCAAGTGTTTCTTAAGAGTTTGACCCCAAATGTCTTCTCACCTCCCTAACCCCACCATTACAGCTCAGAAATGTCACAATAGGAAAAGGAAGCCTATCAGGAGAGTCTTGTTGGAAAAACTTCTCCCACGCGGGCCTGTGAAGTCAGACACAGGAGCACAAACATGAAGGTAAAAGAATATTCTAATTTGCAGCTACACAGATGCAACCTTATGGTAGGAGTCAGTTCCAGTTTTGAATCCAGCTTTAATTCTCTTTTCATTTCCATTTTTCCCCAGTGCACTGAGGGAAACTTGCAACTTGATCCCTCTTGTCTGGCAATGGACGAGTTAAGTTCTCCTTTGCTTTGTCTCCTTCCAAATTCATCAGAAGGTGAAACCATAACACGTGAGCAAAACAACGGTTTTTGAACATCTTTCGTTTTGTGGCCCATCAACACATTTTTATATTTGGTGTAATTCTTGAAGGAAAGGGACAGGGGTAAAGGGAAGAGCAACAGAGGCAGGAGGCTTGTCACTATTCACTGATACAAATAGGTACAGTAAAGGAAGTAGTAGTCTTTGAACATAATGTATTTTACCATGATAATGAAGTGGAAAAAGAATCAAGACCAGAGATGTTCACACACATAGAATTAGCAGTGATGGTGGCTTACCTATCCAGGAAAGAATTTTGTTCTGTGTTCTGACTTGAAAGAGTGGAGTGACATGGATTAACTGAGGAAAGGCTAAGGATTACATAAACCAATGGGAGTGGCCCCAGTGATTGCCCAGCAAGGAAATACACAACATGGTTGTCACCCATCAGTAAGGTTTTTGCAATGCTCTGGGGGAGCTTACACTGTCTAGGAAACACTATACTAAACAACCTAACATGTCTTACAACACTTGCCTCGTGGCGCCCCGGCCAATCTTGAGCAGCTTACTGCTTCCTTACATTTCCTTATCTCTGGCCACAGGCCCCAACTACACCATGACTTACTGATGAAGTTAGCCTGGCCAGTGAATATGGTGTACTGAAGCTCATAGGAGCTGATGCTGAACTCATCATCCGAGATCCAGTGGACTGTAATGGTGTCATGGGAAGCAGTACAGAGTTCCTCTCGGATAGATGGTGGATTTGGGGCTGTAAGGAAAAGTGGAAAAGAAGGTAAGGAAGGCACATTCTCTGTGCTGGAATTTTACAACCATTACTCTTGCTGCCCAACCCAACATCTTGTGGCGCCAAGGTCTTCTTAATAGGAAGCTTCAGATGGCACATGCCATACAACCTGAAGCAAAGTACTGAGACCTCAAGTTCCCTAAAACCACTTTTGCTTCAACAATAAAGATATTTTAGGCAAAGATACAAGCCTAAGTTCCTGAGATGACTGCCCAATTGTCTACTTTGCCTGTACAAACACATATGTAGATCTGAGAGCAAAACAGTCACATGGTTTCCTTATTACACGACCTTCATTCAACCCATTTCTTTTATTTCAAAATTAAGTTTTGTTATATATTTTTGACAGTATAGCCAAGTGAAAATAAATATGAGTTCCCTCATCTGTAAAATGATGACAATTGCCCTACAGATTTGTTGTAAGGATTCATGATATAAAAATTAGTATACAGTATCTTGCATAAAGTAGATGTTTAATAAATGACAGCTATCTTAATATACTAACAAAAATAACTACAAGCACAAAGTTATTGTGTGTATGTATTTTTCTCATGAAATGATCATCTAATAATTCTGAAGGCAGCCAGCATTTTTAAAACACTAATTGCATCTTTCATCTTCTAAAATTGTCTGCAAGCCAGATATTTCTTACACTTCTCATCCTAGTCAGCTAATTCCTGTTTCCTTAAAACAGAGCGGTGCATGTACCCATGTGGGACATTCTTTAATACTCCATAATTGCCACCTAACTTGTACCCCCATAACAAGCTACAATATATTACCGACAGGCTCATCAAGAAATCTATCTGCAACTTCTTGTTTTTTCCCTTTAAGTATGGATGGTGTACCCATTATGTCCCCAGAAATATCTGACAAATGACCTTTCTTTTCTGTTATAAAAACTAAATATATTTATCTAAAAAGATACATGTATTGTTTTAAAGGTTATAAAAGTGTTTTCATTAGAAATATTGTCCTTTCCAGATTATCTTAAAGTAAAAGCACACCAAAAGGAAAGGGTTAGAATGGAAAGGAAAGCGCAGTGTTTTCACACCTGTTAAATAATCTAGCCCCTCCAACAGTTTCTTTTCTCTGGAAAAATCTAAAGCAAAGTTTTCGAAGGCATCATTAAAATTGATGTCTGGAATAAGAACTTGAGAAGATGCAGTTGCCATAGCGACCCTGGAAAAGAGAAAAAGTACATCAATGTATATCAAAATTGGTTTGCAACCTTTATCTAGTATATGATTTCTGGTTTAATAAGGTGAAAATAAATGATTTGTAGGGCTTGATTCATTGAGTGAAAAATATCATATCTGTGCTTTTCCAATGGAAACCATCCAAATTTTAATCATCAGGAGCCAGTTAAGGGTTATAGCATATTTATTCACATATGTTCACCCCTCAAACATACTCCTGCAGCCTGTCTTAATTTTGAGAAATAAATACAGGATTTTTTCCCCTCTGCATCATTTTCCATCTGGCAGGCAGCATCAAAACTAGACCTCCCAAGGCTTGGTAAGAGCAGTTTGAGAAATTCTTTTCTCTCCCTTTGTTTTTTTATGCTAATCAACAAGCCAGCAAGCTGGAGCTAAGTTAAAGCCTTCCCCTAAACACTATACTTTATTTGATCTTTTGTAACATTTACAATTAATTTTATTTTTCTCTAATTGTGTAATACTATACTAGTTTTATTTCCCCAACTAATTCTAAGCATCTCAAAAGCAGTGTTCATATTATGTAACTCTTACACCGTCTATGGTCCCTAACATGGTGTTGGACACACAGTGAACAAATAATTGTTGAATGACTAACTGAATGGCTAACAACAACAGTAATATAACTGCTAACATTTATTGAGCTTTTAGTATATAGAGGACACCATGCATGCACTTTATATACATTATCTAATTTTACTCTTTACCATAACCCTGTGTAGTAAATGTTATTTCCATTTTGTAAATGAGAAAGTTGACATATAGAAAGGTTAAGTAATTTGCCCAAGGTCACACAACCAGTACGGGTCAGAAAAAAAAAAGAAATACAACCGAACCTATGTTCATTGGATTCAAAACTCTATACCCTTAACCATTTAGACAGTCCCTTTTAAAAAAAATTAAGGTATATTTTCACATACTTTGGCAATTCTTAACCATGGTTACACATCAAGATGATCTCAGGAAATTCTCACTAAAACATACATGCTTAGGCCCTGTGCCAGACCTTCTGAATCAGAGCCAATGAACATCTTTGAGCATGCAAATGATAAGAGTGGAAAGAAAGGTTAACTTGGCAACAAGATGCAGGTTAGAATGGAGGGATGAGGCACTGAATGTAGGAAGACTAGAGAGGAAATTATAGTATACTAGTTGTAAGGGGATAAGGAGTACAACAAATGTATATCCTCATGCATGAATACCCTGCTACATATCTGCCAATAATAGCTCTTGGCTGTTGCTGACAATATGTTGACAAAGATATTTCAGAACTAAACTGCAAGCCAGGATAAAAAAGTGAAAGACTAACTCAGTACAATTTAAGTTCTCACACTGAATAGCCCAATCTCCAGAATTTGATGAGTAAGAGGGTAATAACCTCTTTAGGGCAAGGGTTAAGGCAGAAAATTGGTTCAGGAAACTTCTTCCTGACTTCTCCAATCTCTTCTTTCCATCCTTCTGACCATCCATCCATCCAACCATCCATCCATCCATCCATCCATCCATCCATCCATCCATCTATCCATCCATCCATCCATCCATCCATCCATCCATCCATCCATCCATCCATCCATCCAATACTTACTGAGAACAGCTAATGCGCTAGGCACTAGAGATACACAGGCAGAACAAGTTAGTTGTGGTCATTACCCTCACAAAGCTCACAGATCATGGAAGAGAAAAACATTGTATAGACAGTAGAAGTGGTGCTACAAAATGGAGCATAGACAAGAGCCACCCGGCAGGCACTTGGATGCTACAGGAAATCTCCCTGAAGCAAGTTCGTTTTAAGCAATGACCTACACAGTGAGTAGGAGCTAGCTAAGCAAAGACTATGTGGATGTTCTCTTTGTCTGAATCCTGGAGCATTGGCAAAGTCATGCAGGGTCTTGTAGGCCATGTTATAAACTTTGCACTTTATCCTAAGAACAATAGGAGCTGCTGAAGCGTTTTAGGCAGAGGAGTAATATGCCCAAATTTATGTTTCAAGAAAAATACTCTGGCTGTAATGGATGGACTAGAAGGGGTCAAAATTGGAGGCACATCAGATTTCAAGATGTCTAGAAATGAGCAGAAAGTAAAGTGACAGTAGTATAGACAATAAAACAAAGTTAATTCACAAAACATAAAAACAAATAGCCAAAAAATATATTAAGAAGACCAATAACATGAGAATCAAATAAATGTAAATTAAAAGGAGATAGCATTTAAGATTATAAATAATGACAGTATAGGAGCTTTATATGCCTATATTAAATAATGCCTACATATTTTTATTAGGACGGAAATTGACAAATTTTAGAGGTCAATTTAGCATTAAATATCAAACTAGTTTAAAATGTAAATATTCTTTGACACCACAGTTCTGCTTCATAAGTTTTTTACTAAGGAAATTAACTGAGATGTATGCAAAGATACAACCACAAGAGCACTGAACATACCATATGTAACCTAATTATTCAACCATGGGGACTGAGCTAAGTAATGTGTTATACATCCAAAGATGAGGTACATGAGGCCACTGAGAATCAGATTATACAATAATATCCAATGACAGGGAAAAGTTCATAATATATCGTTAAGCCTTGGTCCTTAATATACTATAATGAATAATGGTAAGGAAGAATTTCGGACTCTATGAGAGACCAGTAAGGAAGCTATTTAGGTTGGGTTGCTGATTCTCAAGCCATACCTCATAGATAGCCATCTATTCCACCTACCCCATAGGCTATACCTAATCCTACAGAAAGAAGATTTAGATAGAGAGTTGGGAATCATCAACATCTAGATGATATTTGAAGCCCTAGGAGCTGTAAATTTGCAACAGGGAGAATGTGTATTAAGAGAACAGAATAGCCTGAAACAGAATGACAAAGAGCAATAGCATCAAAGGAGTAGATCAAGGAAACGTTGCTCACAAAGGCAAAAGAAATTAGATACGTAGGAAGAAAACCAGGAACATTCATGGAAGTTAAGGGCAGAGAAATTTTAAGTACAAATGGTTAGTAGGGAAAAATGCTGTTGAGAGATCAAGTATAATGGAACAGTAAGATAAAACAACGGAATTTCTATTATATTTAGCGACAAGGTATTCATTTGATGACCTTGGGAAGAACATTTTCAATAGTGTGGTAGTGGCAGAAGACATTTCATAGAGTTGAAGAATGAGTGGGGATGATTAAATACAGTGGTTCAAATATATATTTTATATCTGCTCTCTTGAAATACCAGTGAAATGACAATCAAAGAATAAAATGCCATAAACCCACAAAGACAAAGAGAGTGGAAAAAGAGATGCCAGTAAATAAGAGTTGTCAACAAATATTTGGAAGCTAAAAAGGGATGGATGAGTGGTAACCAACAACAGACCGGAGAAAGCTGGATCAGGAAGCCAACATCATGCTGATTTAGTGCCACAGTAAGGTTGAAAATTTGCATGAGGAACAGCTAGACCCCAGATCCACTCACCCAGAGACTACCCCTCTCTCATCTTGGCAAGAGAAATAAGGTTTATTTCCTATAGAGCTTTGACGCTATACTAAAACCAGTCTTAAATCCCTCAGCTCCCTTTCCCTGCTTGGCTCCCAGAATGGCGGCAGCCAAGCTTATACCCTCCATCCCTCACCAGAAGTGGGAAATTAGTGGGTTCCTTCGAGGGGAGACTGACTCAAAAGAAAACACCTACAGAACTGACACTTGGGGGTCAATGAAAGTCTGGCATTATGCCTTACACTCTGATGGCAAAGTTTCCCAAACAACAAACTGTGTTCATATCCCTGCAGATTTCCAGTCACCTTTTAGTGCTTAAATTCAAACAGGCAGCCAAAAGCTTACCAGACACTTGGGGAGAGCAGAAACTAAAACTAACAGAAAAGGAACTTGGAGGAAAACAAAACAATACAGAGTCTGGAAGAAAACTTTTTAAATGATCATTAATAGCTTCAGCAAGACAAACATATAGTTTGTATCCACAAAGCAAAGATAGAATGCTTAAAATGAAACAAAGATCATGAAAAATTAAGGAAACCTTAGATAATAGAACAAAGTCATAGAAAATAGGAAACAAAAGATTTAAAAACTAGGCTGTCAGACATCTGACTAATTAGAATCCCTTAAAGAGAAAAGAGAATATAAAAGGGAGGAAATTATTAGCAAATACAAGAAAATGTCCCAGAACTAAAAGTCACTAGTCTTTTGATTAGAAATGCCCACTTAGTGACCAACAAGAGTGAAGGATAAAAGACCCACATCAAGGCATACCTTGGTTCAGAAAATCCAGAATAAAGATAGACCTTAAAAGCTTCAGATTTTAAAATACAGGTCATATTCAAAAGATCAGTAATCAAAATAGCAGTGGACTTCTCAACACAACACTAGAAGTTAGGAGACTATAGAGCCATTCCTTCAAAAATTATAAGGGTAATTTATTTCCAACCTACCAAATGTGAAAATACATTTTAAATATTTTTAAAGCAAAGTGGTTTCAAAAATTTACTTCCCATGTACTGTTTCTCAGGAAGCTATGGGAAAAATTTATTCCAACAAAATTGAGTGCAAAATGGTACATGAAGGTGAAATCAGGCAGGGCCTGGTAGAGTCCCTAATTAAGAACACAATGCTGAGAGTCCAGAGGGAATAGTTGGTTGGAGTTCACAGTGCAGAGTACCAGAGAAGAGAAAGCTGCACAGAGAGAATTATGGAGGCCTTCAGAGGGTTCCCCTCTAGCTTTCAACAAAATACTGAGCAACATATATATATATAAGGAAAGTGCCCAATGCCAGGGAAAGAGCCACAAAAAAAGATTAAAGGCAACAATCCCTGGTGCTCAGGCAGGGCCAGGAATAGTGTCTATTCCCACCAGACAAACTTGAAAGTCTGACAGAGTACTTAGTAGAGTATTCAGAAGGGTCTTGCCTCAGTAGTCGGGAAAGATTTCCCCTAACACTGCTCTGATCCCACCTACCAAATCTTAAAAGTAGGATCTGGAAGGATTAACCTATTTCCAAGTAACATAACTGTGTCCCAGAACAAAGCTTATGAATATTTAGGAATACAAAAATATACAGCATCCAATAAGATAAAATTTACAATGTCTGGCATCTTATAAAAAATTACCAGGTATGCAAAGAAGCAAGAAAATACAACCCATAATGAGGAGATAAAGTAACCAGTTGAAACCAATCCAGAACTGATACAGATATTAGAATTAGACCTTAAAACAGTTATTAGAACTGCATTCCACATGTTCAAAAAGCTAGAGGAAGGTCTAAATATGTTAAGTAGAGATATGGAGCTAAAGTCTTCAATGAATGAGAGGGAGCTATAAGGAGGTCAAATCTGGCCTAATGATCCCCAGGAGCCCCTTGATGACTATGCTGAACAAAGTTTCACTTTAGACCTCAAAGTTTTTGCAAATGGCATATAAACAGGCTTCTAAGGATCCACAAGTTCTCTGAAATCATATGTATGTGTGTATTTATCTAATATGCAGTTTTTTTCCTTAGGGAAAGGGTTCATAACTTTCATCAAATTTTCAAAGGGGTAACATTAAATAAAAGCTTAAGAATTACTCCTCTAAAGGATTTATATGAGGAATAACTAAATGACAATAGACACTACATGTAGATATAGGAAGGGCACACACCTGTCTATGTGGCTTAAAGTTTCTCTGCCCCTACACAAATACCAACATAGAAAGTTTCAGCCCCAGGGGATGGGGTGGAGAGCTGCGGCACAGCTAGGGCATGTGAATGGCTGTGTATTAGGAGAACTGGTAGGCTGCAGAGACAGAAAGAAGGGGACCAGAAATCCACAGGGCAATGTAGCACTGAGGCTTAGTAACTAACTAGCTGGTAAAATCTTCAGGTGGCAGCAGCTACATACATGGCTGAACAGAATTAAGTTACCTGAAGCTGGCCCCTTTTCGTAGGAGCAGTCATGTCAAAAGAACTTAAGGAACTCACCTCTCAGCAATATTTTTTGCAGACTGGAGAAACCGTGCCTGGTCATTTTCTTTCAGGATATGCTCAGCTTGGTTGATGAGGACTGTTGACCGTTCAAGACACTGGCGGCAATTAGCAACCTGCTGTGCCAACTTTCTCAGTTTCATAACCTTAAATGAATTAGCGACAGAAAAATAATAAAACATCCAGTGCTTAATTAAAAACGATAAGACAACATGAAAGATATTTGCTACAGTAATTCTAAATAAGGTCGATTTATATCACATGGTCCCTGAACTAGCCACTCACCTTCTCATCCTACCCTCTACGTCTGTCTTGCCAACCCCTCCTCCGAACTATAGCCACTTACCTATCCTGCAATACATTCAGTCATATACTCTAGGTTATCAGCCTCCTCTTTTTATTGAGACACTAATTTTTCTGATTATAAAAGCAAGGCATGCTCATTATAGAAAATTTGGAAAATAAAATGTATAAAAAGAAATACTACCACCTGGAGATCATCATTAACACTTTATTGTCAATATATTTTCACATACATGTTCACTAAAAGTACCTCCCTTTTCTTTATGAGTATCTACATTTCTCTATATATATTTCTCTAAGTATCTTAACACATACCTGTTTGTTCACAGATCTGTATTTTCAGAAACCTCAATTCTTGTGTTATTTGGGAACACCCAGCATGGCAAAGTATATTGGTCATCAATCCAGGCTCTCAAAACTTCTCACATTGTACACACAGCATAAATTTATAATCACTACACTGACCAGCAGACCAATAAGCTTAAAACCGTATAGTTGCATGGAGGCTCACATCTGACCTTGACCATGATTCTTCAGGTCCCAGGCTAAATGACTAGAAGTCCTCTCTCCTTTATTGTTTACATCTAATCAGCCCATGATTCCATCATTTCCCTTTTAGCAATGCCTGTTATGTTCTTCCCTTCCATATGTACTGCCACTTCCCTGACTGAGGTCTTCATCAACTCATGCCAAGAATCATTCCATAAGCCTCATAACTTGCTTCCCTGACTTCAGTATTCTCTCATTCTGATGTTCCCTGCATATCTCTGCCTTATCAGTCTTCCCTCTCCCTAAGAAACTACAATGGTTTCCCAGTGTCTTTCAAATTAAGCCCGAAGTCCTTATACTGGCATTCACAGTCCTTCCATAATTCTGGCCTGCATTTCTACCATTACTTTTTTCTTTTGTATTGGTTTGTAAGATACAGAAAGTAAAGCACCCGAATCTGAAGTGCACAGCTCAATGATTTTTTTTTTTTGCATATACATATACCCACATAACCATCAACCAGGTCAAGGCATAAAACATTTCCAACCACAGAACTGCCATCATTTTTATTGGTTCATAGCACTAGGTGCTTCTTCTTTGTGTCCCTCTCTAAAACCTCATTTCTTTTTGCTTTCATGATCTAAGTTCAAACTAGAATCACTGGGATGAAACTTTGACATTAGTAAAGTCAACTCTGCCTCGGCTTCACTGGAACACTGTGCTTTACCTTTGTCTCTTTGATTTTGACAGCAATCATTTGCTTCCTCTGCTGGATGATCTCTACCAACTCATCACATTCTTCCATAAGTTTTGCTTCATGCATAGCAGTATTCACCTGCCAAGAAAGCCCAGAATATTACACAGTGATTGCTGCCTTGTCCCCTGCTGGCTCTCAAAGGTTCGGACCGACAGCTAAGCATGCACAATTTCTTCCATACCTCCCTCATAAGATCCACTCCTAGAAGAAGGGTAGAGATGAATATTAATGATGCAAGGGCATTGAAGCACCACAGACAGGAAGCTCTCTGGTCTCTGGTAGGTCATGATCGTTAATGGAAGGCTGGGCAGAAGGACAGATGAGATGGGAGCCTATTATTCCCACTGTGTAATTCAAAACTAGAATGGCAAACATTAGAAAATATACTACTGTAAACGCATTTTCTAGAGAAAATGTAGATTGAAGTGAAGGAGCTAGGGTGGGTTTGCACAGTTGCATCAGGTGAGATAAAACAGCCACGCACAACTAATAGAGCAGAAATATGGCTGAAGAGGCAAAATCTCAAACTAAAGGTAAAGCAGTGATATTAAAATATTTCCATGTCAAGAAGCAGCTCAAAAGAGCAGGGTCCTTGAGTGTTTTCTGAACAGGAAATACTCCAGGGAAAAACTGTCTTCATGATGTGAATAAAACATCTCAAATTGCTTGGAAGGCATTGAAAGCCCTGGCATTTTCCTTGTCTGCAGTTTCTTTGAAAATATAGTGAGGTATTTTCTTGCTTATTAACTCTTAGTTGAAAACAACTGGAGTTACCTTGATATGCATTCTTGGATGGTTGGGTGGGTGGGTGGTTAGTTGATTGACTGGTTTGTGGAAGACTCAATCTCTTTCTTTGACTTTTGCTCTTTAGTTTGGATTAGTAGGTTTGACTAAATGGCTTCATGTCTGTGGAAAAACTTATCATCTCTGAAAATACCACTAAGGTAATCTTAGCAACCTACATATGTAAATCTCTCCCCAACCCCAAAAGACTTTTGGAACGGTTTCTGATGTTTAAGACTAAGTTTCAGTACCAGTCTTCCAAGGCCTAGGCATTAGGGAACACAGGCCTTCCTTTTAAGTCACTACATCCTCTTCTTTGCTCTGTGCTCTTTCCTTTCTTCCCAAAGGCAGCAAGAATTTGACTTACACATTTCTTCCCAATTGCCCACCTTACTCTATTTCCTGAAGTTCTTTCCTACCTCCCAGCCTAATGATTAAACCCAGAGTCAGACCTAGTCTTCCCCAATTTCCACCCTTCCCTGACAAAAACACACACATACCCTGTGTGGAGAAAATGAAGGTTCCTGTGGCCAGGATTCTCCCCTGGCTCTGGTCAGCTAGCTCACTACACACGTGTGCACAACATGTTGTTATTGACTCTATATAAAGAGCTCGGCCAGGTGCTCTGGGATGCTGCACGGCTGAAGGGCTGCAAGGCTGCAGGAGAGCAGAGGCTGGAGTGGTGGCTGCACCAAGGACAGAGACTGAGACAGCTGCAGGGGCAGGGAGACCGAGAGGCAGAGACCTGCTTGCTGCAGACTTGCTCTGAGTGGATGGGATTCTAGTGATTGACCTGCCACCATGGGAATGAAGTTGGGTATAAACCGTTTTACCCCAAGAATGTTCCATTCATTTTTTCAGTCTCATTGAATCCATAGTGAATTTGTCCGGGGCTGAAACCCATTGGCAAGACACCTTGTTTGAAGGCAAATATGTAGTTCACAAATGCCACAAGCCGCAGAGGTTTAAGAGACTACAAAAAACTGATTTTGGTAATGCTCCTGTTCTGTGTTGAAATGTAAATGAACTAGACCTTTTTACCTTTCACTTCTTTCAGAGAGCATATTTGATAGTTTCTTGGGAGATTTCCCACATGCATATTCTATAGACCTTTTATTCCTGGATTTAGAGTTTGTCAGCCTACCCTCCAATCCACCCCCATGAAGAACTTCCCCACTTATACCCTCCCCTCAGCTCAGTTGTATCCATCAGTCCTACAGAGCACTGCATGGGAGTTCAGAAGGAACTGAGATTTCCTGTAGAGGTGGAACAGTATGTATGAAATAGTGGGTGAGCCCTATACCCACTGTAGAGAAAATGGAAGTTCCTATGGCCAGGATCCTCACCTGACCCTAAACTACTTAATAATGTAATTGGCCTACTGTGTAGACTAATGTTTCCACACCCATTGGCAACTAGCCATTATTGTCAGTGTTACTATATAAAGAGCTCTGTCCAGTGCTCTGCCTGGAGGCAAATGCAGAGATGGAAATGGATTGTGAATGACCCAGAAGTGAACATGATTCTAACATTCAACCTGCCACCGTGAGAATAAAACTTGGCATAAATCCTTTTACCCCTAATGTTCTCTTGTTGTTACTCAGTCTCACTGAATCCAGAGTGAACTCGCAGGGAGCAGCACCTCTCAGGGAAGACACTCAGGCTTACATGAAATTGACTTATGGAAACAGAACTCCTCATTGGCATCTCCATTTCTACAGTGTCCTCCACTCTACAGTCAATACCAGCCAAGTTTATTCCTTGAAATATTTTGCCCAAATTGATTTTCCATTTCCACAAAGAAGATTGTGAAATGTCAGCATTAAAGATCATTTAGGAAAGTTTTCATTTCAGCAAATGTTTATTGTGTGTTTACATCACATACAAGGCACTAAGTGGGTTCCTGATGGAACAGAATGATGAAAAAGACTCAGCTTCTGCCTTCAAGGTACTTACACTCTAGTGGAGATGAGTACATTCAGCTAAATACAATTTAAGGAATAGCAGAACAGGTAATGTAACAGAATACAAACAGAGCTTTATGAGAGCACAGAGAAAGGAAAAGTAGTTGCCTGTGGAAAAGGACAATCATGATTAGGGAAGGTTTCATGTAGCTGAGATGGTCTTCAAAGATGAGCAAGACTTGGACATGCAGAAATGAGATTTAAGGGGAGAGAATTACAGGCAGAGAGGACAGTATGAATCACATGTGCAAAAGCACAGACAGGAAAGTAGAGAACATGTTTGGGTAAAGCATATCAGCCAGACAGATGCAAAGGAGGGAATAAAGTTAGAAACGGAGGTTGCAGATATATTATGGAGACTGCACAGTCATTTTGAGTCTTTCAGTGTATGTGGATAAAATTTCAGAATCTTAACATTATAGGAACACCTTAACTATTGTTAGTTAATGCGTTAGTTGATAAGGTGTGGACAGAAAAAGCAGGCACAGTCTTCAAAGAAGTGGGAAGGCACAACAAACTTCTTAATTGCCATTATTGCCCAGCACAGGACCGCTACCCTACATTCTCAGACTCCACAACATCACAGAAAAGAGGCTGAGGTGGGCTTTGTTCAACATGCAGCACTTTCTGTGCAAAGGCAATGGGAAGGGTAAGTGAGAAGTAAATCTGACATCTGATGGATTATCAAGGAATTGTTATGAACAGTTTTGTCACCCTACTGAGCTGCAAAGAATTCATTACTTATAATGATGCACTCAAGAAAATGCAATATTCTCTTTGTTTCTTTGGGTTTGGCTTTTTTAGATTCCTTGATTGTAGTTAACAAGACTGTATTGTATACTTGAAGCTGCTCAGAGAGTGGATCTTGTATGTTCTCACCACACAGACAAAAAAAGGGTAACTATGTGAGGTGATGGATATGTTAACTAACTTCATCACTAACAGCATTTTGCAATATATATGTGTATCAAATCACCACATTGTACACCTAAAACTTACACAAGTTATGTGTCAATTATATCTTAATAAAACTGGGAAAAATAAAGAAACACAGTATTTATAAAGGAGATGTAGCACCAACTGAGGCAGCATCTCAGCTAAGGTGTTAATCCAGATCATACACACCATCCCCACCACGGCCCTCTGTACCAGGAATGTTCAAGGCATAAAAGGAAGAGAAAGATGGAGCAATCTTCTTATTTCTTTTCTAAAGCAAAACACTGCAATATTTCAAAAATGGTCTTGCCAGCTTTACATAAGAACTAAATGAAGCAGGGATGGTTTATAAAATGGATTTTATTTGTGTTTTTAGATCTGGGGGAAGGGTGGTCTTTTAAAGGGTTAGGGGATATGTAAAACTGTTAATAGAAATTTTTGTCCTCTGCATAGAGTAACCATGGCTTAGGAGGCCAAAAAATTACAGAGGCAGAGCTAAGCAACCTACTGCCTTGGTGCCTATGTTAATTTTTTGGCAGAGGAGGCAGTAAGGGGTTTGGTGGGTAGAGATAGTTGAGGGTTTGGGATGTTGAAGTTAGAAAAGTAGTGTGGGTGGGGAGCTGGTAGCCAGACCATCTCTATTAGCATAAGAATTCCAGTATATTGGTCTCAAGAATCCATGCTGTGGGAGGTCTCCAGACAGACACACAGACATCGACTGACAGACAGGTTTCCTGTCAGGTTGCGGGTGCTTACAATGCAACAGGCACTGTTCTATTTGTTTCATACATTTAACTCACTTACTTCTCCCATTAATCTTAATGAAGTTTTCACTACTATAATCATTGCCATTTTACAGAAGGAAAACTGAGAAACATAGAGGTTATGTAACTTGGCCAAGGTCATATAAGTAATAAATGAAATGGCAGAGCCAGGAATTACACCCAGACAGTCTGGCTCTTGTCCATGATTTTAACCACTGTGTATGCATGTGAGAAAGAGAGAGAGAGAGAGACAGATACAGATACAGAAAGACAGAAACTGTGCTCACAAACTTACTACTTTGCCTCTCAGAGTTTGTCTTTCAAGAATTTCACATCCCTGAGTGTTAACCATTGCAAACATTTTGTGTAATTCCTTCTTAACTTTTGAAAAAAAATACAATATAAAAGTGCATATAATGTAACATTTAGAAAACATATAATACACACACGTATATGGACACACGCACATTCTCCATGTTTATTTTATCCTGAATTCAACTAACAAAAATATTGTCAGCAGAGGGAGAGGACAACTTGTTCCATATACAAGCCTTAAGAATGGCCCTGTGGCGACTCCAAGAAGGGACTAACGGTTACCAAAAGGAAGGGGTTAGGGAGGGGGTGTAGAGGG